TGACGGTGATGGTGATGTTGTACTCGGCCTGGCTCTCTCTATCCAGCCCTCCTTCTGTCATTAGGATGTAAAAATTTTCCAGAGAGGGTTTTAGAAGGAATGGCAGATTATCTTGAATGTAGCAAAGCATCTTTCCATTTTCTCCAGAATCTCTGTCTTTAATTCTAAAAACAGCCAGTACGATCTCAGGAGAATTCTCAGCAACGTAGTCGGAAAGTGACGATATGATCAGTTCAGGGGGATTGTCATTGATATCTAATACCTCCACCAAAACCGTACATGTTGCAGTAAGGCCCCCTCCATCCATTGCCTGTATATTTATTTTGTAAGACTTTACTAGCTCATAGTCAAGCAACGCTGTGAGAACAATGTCCCCAGAAAAAGGATTGACTTGAAAGGTGGTTCGTATATCTTCAGAAGCATCAAAAAGTGAATAGGATATGTCTGCATTGACTCCAGAATCTACATCTCCCGCAGAGACTTTTGCAATAAGGGACCCTACTGGGCTGTTCTCTGGGGCCTGGGTCTCATAGATTGTCTGAGAAAACTGGGGGGCATTATCATTGATGTCCAGGATCACAATTCGTATTGTGGTGGTCCCAGACCTGGGTGGAGAACCACCATCCAGTGCCGTGAGTGTTAAACTGAGCTCATGCTGCTTCTCCCGATCCAGTGCCTTATCCAACACTAGCTCTGGATATATCATGCCTTCATCACTGTCACTAATTTTAATATGGAAAAAAGAGTTTGGGTTGATGGTGTAGCTGTGGATACCGTTAAGTCCTCCATCTGCATCCTGTGCTCTTTCTAGTCGAAATGCTGTCCCTTCAGCTGTATTTTCTAATATTTTTAAGACTGTCTCTTGGTCCCGAAACATTGGTGAATGATCATTTATGTCCCTGACCCTCAGCTCAGCTCGGTAAATCTGAAAGGGGTTATCCATTAAAATTTGGAAATATAGCATACAGGGCTCTGTGAGGCCACACAGCTTCTCCCGGTCCAGTTTCTCATTCGTGAGCAAATCTCCAGTCTGAGAATCCAGGAGCAGGTGTTGTTTGTTGTCATCAGAGACCACCCGGGCTCCCCTTGCAACCAACTCCTGGTCCCCTAGCCCCAGATCCTTTGCCAGATTGACCACAAATGATCCTCTCTCTGTTTCCTCTGTTACCGAATATCGTCCAAACCCAGAACCTGCCAAGGATACTCCCCCAAAAAGAAAGACAAATAGGACTTGCCTTTGTCTTGGCCAGCACAACGCTCCAGCCTCCATTGTTTCTTCAGACGTCTTTTGTCAATGTTGGTTACAATCACTGCTCCCAGCATAAAGAACCAGCAGTAGCAACCCCCAGACCTACGCCATGTATAGCAGGGGTCTGGGTTTTTCCTTTTCCCAATCTTGAACCACTACAGGTTTTCTCCCAGCTCATCTGCCCTGATCTTCCTTTTCTGTTAACGACTTCCGCAGCATTCCCAGTCCAGGGTGGGTGGGGTTGGGTTGTTGTTTTTTTTTTTTTTTTTTTTTTTGTCTCTTTAGCCTGCAGCGCCACCGCGTGGCCTCCAACAGACTCAAATGGCTATACCTAATGTGTGTGTGTATATTTGGAATTTTTTCTTTAGTGACTCATTTAAATATTTTGTTTTTCTTTTCTTTTTGTTTGTTTTGTAGAAAGCAATGTTGAGATAGAGTACTGTTCACATTGTTGAGATTTTTCACTGCTTCATAGGAAAAATTAAAAATTCAATACTTAGAAATGTTTCTAGCAGTTAACTGTCCACCTCATCATGCAACCTTTAGTTCTGTAGTAGGTCCTTCACTCCTGACACTACTCCCATAAAATGTCATGAACCAAAGGGAAAATAGTGGTGACATCTGGGACCACCGAAATAACAGATTTTACTTTTCTAAAAACATAGGGCATAAAACAACAGATTTTACTGTTCCAAAAATATTGACCAAAACTGACAAAAGAAACTTGTTTCGCACATTCTTCAACAATTTTTTTCAACATCTAATTACATTGCCTAAATAGAATCAGAAAGAAGGATTAAGGCTGTCCCTCCTGTGCTCCCATAAAAACTTGTATAATTGCCCTGTAAATATTATTGCTTCCTGTTTCATACCAATTTGTCCCTTCTTCAGGCCAACCTGTCACTATGTAAGGAAAGAAACCATGTCTTAGTCTTCTTAGGTTTGCAAATCAGACACTCAATGCTTGTTGTATTAAAGCATGGATAAACAAACACTACTTAGTAGGATATGAAACAATTTTCAGTGCCTTAAATCCTCACCATTTGAAAACTATTCTTTCACTCACTCATTCTTAACAATTGCTGTTTCCTTTCTTTCATATGACTTTGTTTTTTAATATTAGCTTAAAAATTACTTACAGAATTAATGAAGGGACTGATCTTTATTTTAAGGTCCCTCTTAGTTAACATCTAGTGGGATCTAATTACTCTGTGTCAAGTAAAAGGGAGGAGAAGAACAGACCACCCTAATGCCTATCTGAACACTACTGAAAGTAAGAAGAGCATGATAACATCTGCCTCAAAGAAATTTTTATTCAAAGGCCTAATATCTAGAAAGAAGATCTATTTTTCCCATAAGCTAGGAATACAGATTAAATTGAGGGATATTGTACAGGGAAAGGGATAGAGAATGCCAAAAACTGAAATTGCTGACATAAAAGCCACACCATACAAACCTCTGATGACTTCTACTATTTTGTTTCCCTACTACTGAATGGGACTCTGTTGTTAGCCATAAAAACTTAACAGGGATCTCTGGTATTTTTCATACAGAATTTAAAATAACAAATATATTAAATGTTTCTACACAATGCTATAGAACACCTAAACTTTGCTTTCTTTGTCTCCAAACTTAAACACATATACACACACTATCTTACAGAGGTGTTTCTTCTTATATAGATAAGACTTAATAGAGATTTATGTGTCATATCACACAACAGAAGAATTTTAAATATGCAGGTACCAATACAGGGAAAATGGAACTTTTTAAAAAAGTAATATAGGTGTTTAAAAATGCTATAATAAAAACTGAGGTTGTTAAACAAAAAAAAAATACCAGTTTTAAAAGGAAAAGAGAATATCAAATAATAAATGCATAGATCACAGGCAGATTATTTTAATAACTGAACAAGTTCTATGAACTAAAAAACATAAGTACAAAGTCAATAAAGACATTTATAAAGTGGGAAAATGTTAATAATACCATCTTTGAAGGTAGAGCCTATTTCACTTATTGGGATTCCACTGAAAAATACTTCATTGGGCTAAAATATGAGGGAAAAGAAATTTGTGAAGATAGGCATAAAATTGGAAATTGAAGATGAACCAAATAGAGAAAATTAAACAACACCTTATTGGTGGTGATGGGCATAAACGATTTAGTTAATCAAAAAAAAAACTAGAAGTTAATGGGTTTATTAAATAGGTTCCTAGCAATAATTATATCCCAAAACTATTTCGGAAGGAGGAATTTTTTTCCACTTCCCTCCCTGTGCTCTGAAGCTGAGGATTAGGGATAATGGGCTTGAGGAACTTGAATCCATTGGTCCCCGAGTCTCCCCTCAGACACACCTCGTACTGGTAGCTG